GTTGTCTGTCTTCTTGTTCAGTTACAAGGGTTCTTTATATGTTCTAGACACAAGTTCTTTCTTATAGTTTATTCTGTATTTATTTCAGCTTTATTGACATGTAACTGACATGTAAGATTATAAGATATTTAAAATATATACATTGAAGTGACTTAATAAATGTATACGTGGTGGAAGGATTTTCCCATCTAGTTTATTAACACATTCATCACCTCACATATTTATCTTTTGTGTGTGTTAGAGCACTTAAGTTGTTCTCTCTTAGCAAATTTCAGTTATACGATAGTATATTATCAACTGTAGTCACCATGTGACATTAGATCTTCAGACCTTATATTTCAGCCAAAAGTTTACACCCTTTTACTAGCCTCTCCCTATTCCTCCACCACTCAGACTTGGCAACTAGTTTGCTACTCTCAGTTTCTGAGTGTGGTTTTTTTGTTTTTTGTTTTAGGGTACACATAAAGATGATACCTTGCAGCATTTGTCTTTCTCTCTCTGGTGTTTTTCACTTACCATAAATAACACAGCAGGATTTCCTTCTTTCTTGTGACTAAATAATATTCCATTGAACATACATAATACATCTTCTTTATCCATTCATCTGCTGATGGACGCTTAGGTTGTCTACATATCCTAGCCATCATAATTATTGCTACAGTGAACAAGTGTGCATGGAAATTCAGATATTCCATCAAAATCCTGTTTTCATTTTCTTTGGATATATACCCAGAAATGGGATTACGGGATCATATGATAGTTCTGTTTTTCATTTTTTTTAATTATGGATACTTTGTTTGTTTTTGTCTGTGCTGGATCTTCGTTGTTGCTCTCGGGCTTTCCTTCTAGTTGCTGCTGGTGGGGACTACTCTTCTTTGCAGTGCATGGACTTCTCACTCTGTTGGCTTCTTATTCCAGGGGCTTCTCTTGTTATGAAGCAAAGGCTGTACCACACCCGGGCTTCCATAATTATGGTGCATGGGCTTAGTTGCTCCGCTGTATGTGAGATCTTCCTGGACCAGGGATTGAACCCCTGTCCCCTGCAGTGGCAGATGGATTCTTAACCACTAGACCACCCGGAAAGTCCCCTGTTTTCATTTTTTGAGGAACTTCAATACAATGGTTGCACCAGTTTACATTCTCACCAGTAGTGCACAAGTGTTCCCTTTTCTTCACACCCTCACCAACACTTGTTACCTCTTGTCTTTTTGATGATGACCATCCTAACAGATATGAGGTAATATCTCATTGTAGTTTTGTTTTGTGTTTCCCTGATGATTTGTGATGTTGAGTACCCTTTCATATATACCTGTTGGCCATTTCTGTGTCTCCTTTGGGAAAATGTCTATTCGGTTTCTGTGCACATTTTTAAATCAGATTGTTTTTTTCAGGATTGTATGAGTTCTTCCTATATTTCAGATATTTACTCCTTATCACACATAGGACTTGCATATATTTTCTCCCATTCAGTAGGTTGCCTTTTCATTTTGTTGATGGTTCCCTTTGCTTTGTGGAAGCTTTTTAATTTGATGTAGTTTGACTTGTTATTTTGCTTTTGTTGCTTTTGTTCCAAAAAATCATTGTGAAGATCCACAATTCCATTATCAGAAATAATTTACAAACATTTTCCCAGTCTGTGGCTTAGCGTTTTTATTTTTGTTAGTGTGTCTTTTTTAGTAGTTTTATTGAGCTGTAAGTCATATATTGTACACTTCATCCTTTTAAATGGTTTTTAATATAGTCACAGAATTGTGCAACCATGATCCATTTTAGAACATTTCCCCTCCTCCAAAAAGAACCCCAAACCCATTAGCATTCACTCCTCATTCCTCCCAGGCACCCAGTCCCAGACAACCACTAATCTACTTTCCATCTCTATGGATTTGCTTATGCTAGACACTTCATATAAATGGAATCAAACAATATGTAGTCTTTTATAACTGGGTTCTTTCACTTAGCATATTTTCAAGGTTCATACGTGTTCTGGCGTGTATCAGTACTTCATTCCTTTTTATTGCCTAATCATATTCCATTGAAAGAACATATTACATTTTATTTAAATCATTCATCAGGTGATGGACATTTGGATTTGTTTTCATTTTTTGGCCATTATGTGCAATACTGTTATGAACACTTGTGTACAAATTTTTGTGTATACATAGGTTTTCATTTCTGGCCAGTATATACATGTAAGAGTAGACTTGTCATAATATTTAAACTTTTGAGGAACTGCCAGACCATTTTCTAAAGCAGCTGCACCATTTTTACATTCCTTCCAGCAGCTTATGAGAGTTCTGAGTTTGCCACATCCTTGTCAACACTTGTTATTATCTGTTCTTTTATTATAGCCATTTAAAAGTATGGTTGTGAAGTTGTATCTCATTGTGGTTTTGATTTGCATTTCCCTAATGGCTAATAATATTGAGCTATCTGTATTTGCATCTTTTCTTTACAGAATTGTCTATTCAGATCCTTTTCATATTCTAAAATTACCTGTCCTTTTTTTTTGTTTTAATTTTTTGAGTTACTTGTCCTTTTATTATTGAGTGTAGGAGTTCTTTACATATTCTTTTTTAAAAATTAGTTGTGTTATTGAAATATAATTGATTTACAGTGTTGTGTATGTATTCTTAATATAAATCCTTTATGGGATATGATTTGCAAAAATTTTTCGCCATCCTGTGAATTCTTTTTTCACTTTCTTAAAGGTGTCCTTTGAAAATAGTTTTTAATGTTAATGAAGTCCAGTTTATCTGCTTTTTCTTTTGTAATGTATACTTTTTGTGTCAAATCTAAAAAGTTATTGTCTAATCTTTTCTTCTAAGAGTTTTACAGTTTTAGTTCTTACATTTGGTATGGTGCATTTTGAGTTAGTTTATGTATATAATGTGAAGTAAGGGTCTAATAAGTTCATATTTATTTGTATCATGGAAAGATCTCAAAAAGTATGCTATTTTTGCTGTATCAATTCAGTTCAGTCACTCAGTCGTGTCTGACTCTTTGCGACCCCATGAACTGCAGCACACCAGGTCTCCCTGTCCATCACCAACTGCCGGAGTCTACCCAAACCCATGTCCATTGAGCCGGTGATGCCATCTAACCATTTCATCCTCTGTCGTCCCCTTCTCCTCCTGCCATCAATCTTTCCCAGCATCAGGGTCTTTTCTAATGAGTCAGCTCTTGGCATCAAGTGGCCAAAGTACTGGAGTTTCAGCTTCAGCATCAGTCCTTCCAATGAACACCCAGGACTGATCTCCTTTAGGATGGACTGGTTGGATCTCCTTGCAGTCCAAGGGACTTTCAAGAGTCTTCTCCAACACCGCAGTTCAAAAGCATCAATTCTTCGGCACTCAGTTTTCTGTATAGTCCAACTCTCACATCCATACATGACTACTGGAAAAACCATAGCCTTGACTAGACGGACCTTTGTTGACAAAGTAATGTCTCTACTTTTTAGCAGAAGTTAAACACAACATTGTAAATCAACTATGCTTCATTAAAAATTTTAAAGCATGCTAGATGATAAAAGCAGATTGCCAAATGATATGTGCAGCATGATACCCATTCATGCAAAATTTAAAGGCATGAAACGTCATATATTATTCATAACAACATATGTACACATAGGTAAAAAGTTTCACACAAAATCTATGATAATGGCTGCCTCTGAAGGGAAGAGAAGAAGGGACTGGAAAGAATTAGTAGTCAAGGGGTCTTCAGATTTATCTGCAGTGTTAGAATAAATTTCACACAATATTAAATATCAATTTGAATGGTCTGTTACATTGTACTTTTAAGCTTGCCTTGTATTTTTCAAGTTTCTCAAATTAAAATACACAGACACCAATCAGAGCAAGAATGATGGAAAACAGACCACTTCCGCTCGGTCCAGCGCTCACATTGGGTGAAACTGAGCTGAGGCCACCTGTCAGCCTGTTTGGGGCCGCCAATTCTATCTGTATGTGGGGTTTCTGAGCCAGCTCCCCAAAGATAATTATCTTCCTTTGAACTTATTTGCACACTTTGGCTTATATTTTCCCAGTCTTGCTTCCAAAGAGAACCCTAGTCTTTATGCCACCCTCAGTTGCCCTTCCTCTAAAGAGCTGCAGAGCCCAAATCTCAGTGGACTCCCTTTAACTGGAGTTTTTAAGTTTTATCCCATGGCTCCAAGCTTTCTCCAAAACTGCACCGGAACCTTCCCACGGAAGGCTCGGTTTCCTGATAAACGTGTGTCCATTCTCACCCAGTGCCCACGGAATGGCTCACAGAAGACCGCACTGTGTGCTTGACGAGGGCAGCATGGCACGCCAGATGACTCGGCTCCTGGGACTGCCTGCTGCTGGGCTCCTGCCCCGCAAACTCATCAGGCACGTTCCCTGCAGCCCAGCAGCTGCAGAGTTGCAAAGCGCATGACATTGCCCTGGGCTGGGAGTAGAAGGGCTTGTTCCAGCCTCTCCTGCTGACAAGCTGTGCAGCCCTGACACAGAGCTCTTACTCTCTTCATCCTGTCTGTCTTCTCTAAAATGGATACTACTCTAGTCGTTACGAGACTCAAATGAGATGATGCACATGAATGTGTTTGCAAACAGAAAAGAAAGATGTTTGCATATTATTTCCCAGCTGTGACCCCAGCCCCTTCCAAATCCTCCACCAGCTACCCCGCTCCATCTGTCCACCTGGAAGGCCCTTCTACCCTCCCTCCCTGAGCACGCCTCCACTTTCCCTCCGCTTTTAGTTTATTCTTCAGTGTTCTTGCTGCCTCTTCTCCTCCTCCTCCTTGTTCTCTCCCTTTCTCCCTTTTTGTTTCCCTGCTCCTTTTCTTCCTCTCTCCAGTCCTAGAGGCAGCCTGACTCTTTCCTTTCAAATCTGATCATGCAGTGCATTGCACCACTGAACTGAAGCCCTAGGTTGGCTCAGGTTGACTGAGAAAAAGCACTTGCCCCTTCCTCAAAGAGGTAAGGTGCAGGAGATGACAGGCTTTATCTCCTTGATTCTCCCAGGCTCAGGCCACAGGATCACCGCATACATCGCCCACTCACGGAGGCAGCCGCCCCATGCCCATGCCCGTGCGCTCCACCTCTGCCGGCTCCACCCCCACCCACTGCCCGCAGGACCCACTGAGCGGAGTTGGCGGGGACATGCAGGAGGCCTTCGCCCAAGGTGAGTTCAGGAGCAGAGGAAAATGAAGTGCTGAAGGGGTTTGGAAACGTGGACAAGACTCCTGCTGCGGTTCTCCCCGTTTTCTTTTGTGTGCTTAGCTTTCAAATTTTCATGTACAGTAAAAGCAAGTCTCGTGCTGGTCCCTTCTCATCTGATGGACTGGTCTGCAACGGGAGATCTGCAGGCTTGTATGTGTGTGAGGTCCAGGCCTCCTGGGTTTCTGTGCTCTTTTGGGGGAGAGTTATGGGAAGTGCCTTGTCATTTGGGCTTTGCCTCCTTCAGAGGAGTTGGATGGATCATTCCCAAAGTCGAGTGCTCGGCCTGCAGGGTTTAGAACAAGCAGGAGAAGGAGGCTAGAACTCTGAATCCGACCTTGCTGAAGGCGCCTTGTCCGTGGAGTTAATGGCCTGCCGTGTTCTGTCGTGGGCGGAAGACGAGTCTGCTCAGGAAGCCTTGTCTTGTCTCGGGGCAGAGATGAGAGCAGGGAGGTGGAGTTGAGAGTAAGTCCTGCCCGAGGGTTTGCAGTCCACCTCTTTGATTGTGGCTGAGAAGCATGGAGGTGACAGGGTCCTGCCTTCACAAAGAGAAGAGGGAGGAGAACTACGGCCTTGGGCACCAGGGCCTGGGAGCAGGTGGAGCTGCTCGGCCCATCTTCCCTTAGGAGTCCACGCTAAGTCTGGGGGCCAGCCAGCTGAGGCCTCTGCTCAGCTCTGTCTCCCCCCTCACCACCACCACCCACCTACCCACCAGGCATCGCCATCTGCTCTGCCTCTCCTCAGGTACGAGGAGAAACCTCCGCAATGACCTGCTGGTGGCTGCCGACTCCATCACCAACACCATGTCATCCCTGGTGAAGGAGCTCCACTCAGGTGACGTCCAGAGCTCCCACCCAGCCTCCCGCCTCCGCTGCTCGCCCCTGCCTTCCTTGCCACCCACCCCCCATGTGGTAAAGCGCCTCCCTCATTTCACCGCGCGGCCTCCTTGCTTTCCAGGAACTCTCTGGATGCCTTCCCCTGTGAGCCTGTCTCCCATACGTGGTCACACACTTGAAGTTTCTCTTAAGAGCACACCTTGTGGAGCAGACAAAGTTCTGATGTTAAAAGAATTTGGCTCCGTCGGGCCCCTTCCTCACTTACTGTGTCTTCCGCCTATACTTCCTCCGCAGCTGCTCTCTCCCTAGGCCTGCTCGGCTATCTCACTCGGAGCTTTCCTGGACGACAGGGAACCGAATCAGCCACAAAAGCTTCTGGACTTCGTCCCGCTGCCTTTCTGCTTCTCCTATTTGATTTGGTTTCAAAACCCTATTCTTTCCCTTTATCCGTGACGAGGCTCTGGTTTCCCTGGAAGTTCATGACCTGAGTCTGGTGCTTCCTTCACTCCACATGTTCAGTCTTATCTATGACTTCTTTCTCAGTCTGTCTGTCTCGCAGCTATTTCCCATGATTTTCCTGAGACCCTTACCTCATGGCATATTTCCCCCTACATGAAATCCAAGAGGGGGAGAAAAATAATAGGCCATTCCCATATCATCATATCTGCAAGAATCCCCATGATTACATCAGTTTTGAAGCCGCCAGATATTTTACTAATTTTTTTTATGGTGGTCAGATTCCCATATTATATATTAAAAAACAGATTTCCTTCCTAATACTGTGGGTCACTCATACTGGTGGCCCTCTCTTGTTTCCTTTCACCTAGTATCGTGCTTTTGCATACCTTGAATTAGCTTAACAAGGTTGTTGAATAAAGATATAAAGCAGTTTTTCCGTGGGCTATTCAGATACACGTACTTACTCAAACATAATACATTGAAATCATCCATCCATGCACTTAGGGAAGGCAAGCCTTGAGTAATCCTTCAGACCCTTGTAGGCGAAACCATACACTTTTAGGGTTGTCATGAGACAGGCTGAGGTCTGGCCAATGGCTTCACTCTCAGATCTGCTGTTTTTGTTTAGAAGAGAATAAGGTTGGTTTTCCCAGTACAGTTGATAAGATGTCAGTTCTCTTGTTGAGGGAGCATGATGGTAACACTGTCTCCATTCTGGTACCATTTCTCAATCCCTTTTAGAAGCACTTTCCCCCTCCACACACACATAAACAGAAGGGGAGATTGCCTTTGAGATGACCTCATGGGTGATCAGAAAGTCCCTTCCCTTATATAGTGCCCCACTGATGCCAGATATCCCACTTTTGGAGGGAATTTCTTAGGGGATTTCAGGCCATGGAAATTAACCACAGTTGTGCCTCATGGCTGGTTATTAGGGTTTGTGCAAAATACGTGGTTCATGAGCTCATCACATGAGTTTGAGGGGTAACTGGACATCATTAAACACAAAGCACATAGAGACCACACAGCTTCAGAAAAAAGCAAGTGTGTGGGAATGTTCAGCCATCTCTCCTGATAGGAAAGGATGGTTTTAACAAAGCTGTGTAATGTTTTTGGAAGGTATCTCAGAGATCACATTGTCCTCTCCCCTTACTTTAATTTTTTAATGTGGAATCTTAGTTCCCTGAGCAGGGATCAAACCCGTACCCCCTACATTGGAAGCACGGAGTCTTAACCACTGGACTCCAGGGAAGTCCTCCACTCCCCTTACTTTAGAAGTGCAATGAGTGATTATCAATAAAGAGATCTGCCTGAAGTTATCCAGCTCTAAGGGGCCAAGCTGGTCCTAAGAGCTTAGGTGTGAACGTTAAGCTGATGCTCTTACCACTGCACTGCCCTCATCCTCATGCAGGAAAAGGGGTCAAACCTGCAATCCCACCAACACCTCTTTCATGGATGCTTCATTCTCCAACGCCCTGAAGTCCATGGTGGACGTAGACTGGGTCCACATCTGGCACAGTGTCTCTATCAGACACAGAAGCAAACTCCTTTACGTGCAAGGCTGCCAGCTTCTCAATGAGTGGAGGAGCCTTGCCCAACACCAGCACGTTTTTACTGTCACTGTTGAGGTTCTCATGAGGACTAGACCTGTTGCTCAGATTATTTTTATGTGTATCATGGACATACTGTTTATATCCACAGCTTATGTTCCTCATCTTTTATTTTTGCATGAGTAATGGACTCTTAGAGTTGAAAGGATCTCAGAAGCTGCTTAATCCAGCTTGCTGCCAGGTGTAAAAGTCCTTTGTTTGACTGTTTCCAGTGAGCTCATTCATGACCATGCTCATGCTCTCCTCCTTGGGGAGTTCTTGCTTATCAGAGAGCCAGAATCTGCCTTTCTATAACAAATTTATTCTCATTCCACCCCCGCACCACCCCCCCGCCCGAAGCTGCCAGAGGGAGCTCAGTCCTTCCTGTCACGTTAACCTTTCCAGTATTTGAAGGCAGACAACGTGGCTCTCCCACGGCCTCTCCTTTTTAGGCAGCTGTTCGCCGTTCCCTCAGCCATTCCTCACGTGACACAGGTTTCCCTGGAACATCCCGCATGTCCACACCGGGGTGTGGCCAAGGGTTTCAAGGCTCCACTTCAAAGTGAGTTCCTGGGACTGAGCACATCTCCAGATCACAAGGGGTCTTCCCCCAACAACCCCCTCCCCCTCCCCAGAACAGTGAGCCTCCACCTCCCCGTCAGGGCTCTTGGGAAAGCAGCCTCAGATGGCGTTAGCTTTTTTTCCACATTGCCACCTGGCACTGTTTGGTCATTTTAAGTTTGTTGTCTGCTAAAACCTCTAGTGTTTTTTTTAAATGGAAGCCAATGTTCATCTAGTTATTCCCTGCTGTACATTTTTATGGTGCTTTTCTTGAACTTGAGTGCAAGGTATTCACCATATTCCTAGTAGATGTCACCACTTAGAGAAACTAGCAACAGAGCCAGAAGCTGGGAGTCGGACTGCACTACCCCTCTGAGCCCAGGGCTTATGGGGACCTGATGCTGCAGTATGTGCCACGCGGGGCACAGACCAGGTGACCACAGCACTCTTAGAGGTCCACAGCCATGACCCTTTAGCTAGGGTTTCATCGCTAGCCTGCTAAGTGCCTTCCTTCTCCCTCTGCCTATGCTTCTACTGGCTGAAGGGTCACTGGCCTCCTTGGACTTGTTTTCACAGCAGGGGAAGGTGCAGAGGAAGAAGAAGAGAAGATGCAGAATGGGAAGGACAGAGGTAAAGGCAGCTCCACAGGACCCTTAGCCTGATGGGGGCCAAAGCCCTAGCCCCCTCTCCCTTTTGTTCCTTCCTTCCTGCCACCACCTTTCCCCAAAGCTTTCAGACCCCTGCGGATCCTTCTCCCAGCCTTTCCCAACTGGCCACCAGGTTTTTCCCTAGAGGTGTTCGTGTCAGTGGATCAACAAAAAAAGCTTCCTGATTTCCTGACACTATGAAAGATGGATGGGATGCAGGAAGTGGATACAAGTGAAATGCCAAACATGACCCCTTGCCTCAATTTAGAATAGATTTAGGAGAGCAAAATAAAGATATGCAAAATAGGAGGTAAAAGGAAGTGGCAGGAAAAGTTAGTCATCAAACTTTAAGTGTAGGATTATAAATACAGGAAGTTTTCTTAAAAGGCAGAGATTATTGTGGACAGAATAGCCAAATGGTTTTGTCGCTTCTCAGAGGAAATAAAAGCGATAGAGAAACGGTATCAACCTAGGACAGTAAGCTTTCCTCATTTTATTGTATATAAAACCTTCTTAATAACTTGTTACATTCAGAGAGCTGTGCTAAATGATTTCCATGTATAATCTCATTCAGTCCTCAACAACTTGGTGAGATATGTGATATAATGATATCTCCCATTTTACCAGTGAGTAAATAGGCTCAGAGAAATTTAGATCAAACAGCTTGCATGCATGCCAAGTCGCTTCAGACGTGTCCAACTCTTTGTGACCCTATGGACTATAACCCACCAGGCTCCTCTGTCCATAGGACTCTCCAGGCAAGAATACTGGAGTGGGTTGCCATGTCCTCCTCCAGAGGATCTTCCTGACCTAGGGATTGAACCCGCATCTTTTACATCTCCTGCCATCAGCAGGCAGGTTCTTTACCACTGGCACCACATGTAATAAGGGTTGGATTTGAACTGTTTTCCTAACTCTAGACTTCATGCTCTTAATCTTCATGTTTCTACATTATCCTAAACAAATAATACAATTCTCTTTGGACATTTGAGAGTCAGCTGTTATTTCTGTGATGTATTTAATACATCTATTGCTGGATTCCTTCAAGATGTGAGCTCCCCAGGACAGAGATTTTCATCTGTTTTGTTCAGGTTTTATCCCCAGTGACTAGAACAGTGGCCAGCATGTTGTAGGATATCAGTAGATTCACAAACATAAGGAAATAGACAGGGTGGCATGCAGGAGAGCACTTTGTCAGAGAGAGAGGCAGGTGGCCACCCTGAGGATGCTGAAAGTGGAGCATGAGAGGGAGCTGGCCCAGCTCGCTCAGGTCCCTGTTGGAGGCTGTGCACTTAACACACTCCTCTTGTCTAATTCCATGGCCCCATGAGGAAAGGATTCCAAGACAAGGCTAAGGGCGGTTAAACAATGTGTCTAGGTAGTAATCGCCTGAGCCTGGACTCAGCCTAGGTGTCTCTAACGCCAGCGCCCATCTTTACTCTGAATGGACTGGGAGACCAAGTGCAGTGAAAGAAGTCTTAAGGAAGAGTGGAGAGAAGTGGATACAGAAAAGGAGGCTGTGATGAGAACAGGGGAGCACCTCAGAAGGGGAAGGTCCAGAGCGCTTGCGCATAGCAGCTCGTGTGGATGAGAGAGAGGGGTCTTTGGAGTTTTGTCAGCAAGGACACTGGAATCGCCAAGGGTGAGACGGGGGTAGAAAAACATACTCCAGGTGCTGCAATCATCAAGTGAGTCTGAGCGAGGCCTGGGAGAAAGTGGACAAGAGCTATGATGAATTAATGAGAATGATGTATTTGGCATAAAGCTGTCAAAAGGTCAGCAGTAGAGGGCAGTGGTGTTTGAAACGTCTAGAAATGCTGCAGAGAAAAGGAGAGAAACCTGACTTTTGCATGCCGATGAGGGACTAGAAGGAGGCAGGAGGGCTGTACTGCAAGAGGTGAAGAGAAGAGGGGAGACACAGAGATAGATTTACACTTATGTAAACACACCCTGCAAACACATGCATGCACACACACACAGTCCAGCCAGATCCCGGCTTTCATGTGGAATGTTCTTGGCTGAAAACATAACAGCTGCTTCTTTGGCCTTTCTCCCCTTATACCCTCCCTCCCCCAATAGTTTTTCCCAGGGCCTCTCCTCAGTCTCCCTTGCTCCCCCAAAGCACACAGAAGACTGCCCTGATCGCTTGGGTCTTTCCCTGCCCACAGACTCTAGCCTTAGGCCTGATTCAAGTCTGGACAGAGGCTGTGTCTCACACAGGGACTGGGTACGGTTTCCCTTGTCTGGTACCTACTAGCTTCAGGGACCCTCTGTCTTTGCACCTTGTTGCCTGGTCAACATCTCTCTGTCCCTCTTGCTTTGTATGTCGATGTGAAAGCTTGTTGTGAGAATGCCTGAATTTCCATTTCTGTGGGTTTTTTAGGTGCCATCCCCAAGGGGCAGAGTGTTAAGAGTTGAGGTGAGAGATGGGTAGGGTTTAAAAAGGATATTTGGCTGTCAATACTGTATGGGTCCCAGGATATGCCCCTGTAGCTAACATATGGCTGTTATGTAGGTGTAGTTCTCAACCAAGTGTTTTTATGGATGAAACTTCTGTTTCTCCACTGTGATCTACGTGTGAGATTTTAATACTGTAGACCGAGGTGGCAGTAACTACTGTCACCTAGGCATTAGAGAGCAATAACTATCAACCAGAAACAGAGAAAGATTGGCTTCTTCGGGGTTGAAATCATGCTGACATAATACAAACACAACCAAGTCAGCACCCCATGAAGTATAGTCTGCTCAGTGGAAATCATGAGAGCCAAATGGACACTTTTGAAGAACTCCTGACCCAGCCCAACTTCCCAGCCACATTCACCCTGGGATCGCCATGCTCCGTCCGGGTGCATCCTGGGGAACGATTCTGCTCCACTGTAGGAGTGCCCTCCCCTCACTTTGGGTGGTCAGTCCTTGTAACCAAGAGCGTACAGATGAAACATAGGCTAGCATAACTTCCCCATGTTACTTCAGAGCCCTCAATTCATCTCTGCTACTCCACAGCCTCATTTTATGCCCCTGTGTCCTTCAGAATCACCTCTCCCAGCACCTGCCATCATGGTATTGGGAGCTATAAATCCAGTTTGCATGCCTAATACTGGTACGTGTCTGGGAGACTGAGAGCAGTGGTCCTTGGTAAGAATAGATACAGGCTTTTGACAGTCCAGGTGATGGTTCAAGATATCAGGGTGAGCAGGAGTCTGATTTAGAGTCCCCGGAAGATGCGTCTGCAGGAAGGAAATGCTGCTCTTTTCAACGTTTAAGCCATTTTCACCTTGTTCACTTTCAGGACCACATGGGCTGTGTCCTCTGATGTAACTGCTCCCTAGGTTTAAGATGGATTCCTTTCCACTTTCATATGATTTATCTTCCTCCTGAGAGGCATGTGTATCCATGGCTGCATTAGGTCAGTCGTAGTTGCTGGTTGTAGGTCACATGACTTCCCCCTTGTTTTCAAACCTGGTTGGAAAAAGTTGATCCAAGAGGAGACAAAGAGCAAGTCCAGGAGCCCATGGGTCGGGGAGGCCCCAGGAGAACCCCCGGGTGGCAAGGAGACCCCGACTGTGACCTCCGTCTGTCGTTTGTCTGTGCTGCACAGGTTAGCGGAGGAGCCCAGCCAGAGAGGAAGCACGGGTGAGTACAGTGTTCCCCGCCCTCCCCTACGGCCCCCTCCCTCCTCCCTCCTCCATCACAGTTCCCAAGCCAGAGCTGCCCGACACGCGTGATGCAAGTTGAAGTTTCCTCCACAAGCCTTGCTGCGCCTCCTCTCTGTGCAACTACACCAGCACACCTGCTCGGGCCCATCTGCAGACCCTGGCCCATCCTGCACTGCTCTGAGCCTGGGCTTCAGGCAGGTGTCACCTGTGTTGGGATGCAGGTGGCAAAAGTCACTTCCCCGGGCTGCCTTCTCTTTCCTTCTTGCTCCTGATTTCCCCACAGCCTCTGTCATTTCTCTCCAGATGTCCAAACCACCGCTGGTGCAGGGTCACACTGGTAACTCCATAAAGTCGTTTCCCATGGTGCCCAGCCAAGCTGCACCTTCTCACTTCCTAAAAAAAAAAAAAAAAATTAATAAAAGTTCAGATTTCCTCACAGGCAAATGCCCATTGCCTTGAGAGTTAGCCTTTCACGTTTTTCCATCTTAGGACCTTAACTCTTATCTAGCTCCAGTTCCAAGGTATTGAGGCTTCTAGGTCTGCACTGAGAGCTAAAAGAAAGGAACAAAAATACTTGGACAACCAATCTGTTCAAGAGAAGAGTTCTTTCAAGGATAGATGCCTTTGGTGCAGCCTTGAGATTCCTCTTTATTTTTTTAGTCTTTGCTTCCCTCCCCTCCCCCCACCTCATGTGTTTAAGAGTTAGGCCATCTTCCTCGGTTACAGATCTTCCAGACAGAAAAGCCAGGGCTGCAGCCCACAGTCCAGAAAAGGACCTGTCCCAGGCCCTCCTGAGCATTCTTGTCATGGGGCAGCTTCCAGGCCTTTCCATGACAGCCCCGCTTTTCCTCATCTGCACCAGACCCTGGGTTCTGTCCTGCTTGCCCTCCGGACCTGCTTTCTCTGAGCCTCCCCCGGCTCAGGGATCATGCAAGCTGAAGACGGGCAGTGCCTGAGCTGTGGAAATTCTCTGGCCGCCGTGGAAATCACAGCGCCTCCCAGGCTGGGCAGGCTTGTCCCTGAGCTCACCGCGCATGCGGGCAAGGCCCTTCCTGAAGCAGGCGGTGGCTGCCGCAGCTATGAGACAGTCAGGAGCTGACTTGCCCTTGGGGAGCCTGCCAGGGCCCCTCTCCCCAGGGCACACAGGAACTGGGAGATGAGGAAAGGCGTGTCCACCAGCTGGCCCACCCCTTTTGCACACAGGAAACTAAGACCACTACCCAGGCGCTTGGTGCCAGTCCTGACTCCTCCGCTACTAGTGCTGTCCTCTGACCCTGGGAGGGGGGTGTTGTGAGAAACTCTTGAAGTGGGGAGAGTTTCAGAAAGTTAAGGAAAAGCCTAAACGCTCAGGTGGACTCAAGTTCTGCTCACTTTATGTGTGAGGCTGAGGCTTTCTCCCCTTCTATCCAGGGCTTCTCAGCACATCACCAACCTGTTTGCCCTTCCCTTCAATCATAATTCTTCACCCCATGAAACCACCACGTTCCAAGCCTTGCATTGCACACACAGTTTTTTCTTTCCTGGAAACATTTCCTGACCCTGTGACCTAAGCAAGGACTCCAAAGACCCAAGATACCCCCAGAAAGAGAACACCCGCTTCCCTAAAAGGGGTGTGTGAGTCCTGTCCCTCTTCGAGTGTCCCGAGTTGACAAGGTAAGCGGCCGGACAGCGCCATCCCCGCGCATTGTCCAGTCCTGGCGGATGTTAGCCGCCTTTGCCTTGAGACCCTGCACCAGGGCCCGCGGAGTGACCGTGCGTCTGTCCTGCACAGGCACAGGGGACGTGGAGCGAGCTGGCACCGACCGACTCGAAGAAGGCGAGGTGTTCTCCCAGAGGCGCATTCCTGTCCATCTTTCCGCTGCACACCTGGACCAGGCTTGCAGGCTGCCAGACGTTACCACTTGCCAGGGAGAGGGGAGCCCAGGCCGGTGGGAAGTGGGAGGGACCTCCGGTGCCGCCTCGGGCGCACCCCCACCCCACCCTCGCACAGTCCTGCATGAACTAGCATCTTCATCACTCTCCTCCGGGCATGGTCTCATCTCTGCAACTGGAATTTACTGGAGGTTGAAAAGAGAAAAGAAACAGCACGAATCTCGTGTGTGTGTGTGCGCGCACGAATCTCGTGTGTGTGTTTGTGTGTGTGCGCGCGCACGAATCTCGTGTGTGTGTGTGCGCACGAATCGTGTGTGTGTGTGTGTGTGTGTGTGTGAAAGAGAGAGCTGATGGAGTTCTTGCTGGCATCTCGCCAGCAGGCGGGCTGCTCCCGGAATGGGGGCACGAATTTCCTCCCGACCTTTGACCTTTAAAAACCAACAGGTTTTCTTTTCTCTGTCTTGCAAAGACAGCTTCAGGCTCTGCTCGGTTCTACAGACATTCACACCCCTGGCCACAGAGCTAAAAATAGCCTCCTTCCTTTCTCTCTCGCTGCTAACACTTCCGCCCGATTCGACGCCGCTGCGCTGCAGCTCCGGGCGGTAAGCGGGAGCAGAGAGCGAGCGAGCTCTGCCCCTGCAGCCCCGACGAGTCCTCCTCCTCTTTCTCCACCTCGTCCTTTCTCCTCCTCGTTCTCCACCTCCTCTGGCCGCTGCAGGAGAGCAGGCGAGCGGGTGTCGAGGAGCCGGGGCGACCAGGCGGGACGCGCTGACCGGTGACCGCCAGAGGGAGCGCCGTCCGGGGCGGGGGCCTCGCTCGTGCAGCCTCTTCGCCTCTCCCGATGCCATCCCGCTCCCGCACACTGGCTAATCAATCCCGATTCCGGTGATTTTCATTTATTTTCCCCCCTCCTCCCTGGGCTCCAGGATGTTATTTTTAGTAGCAGAACTGCTATAAATATTTATAAAGGGCAGTGACTGGAAAGAAGTGAGAGGCCCCACTGCCGACTCTCGCCTCCCCCCACCCCCAACACGCACGCCCGCTGCAGACCCGGGCCCGCTGTCGGAGGGAGGGCTGCGCCGAGCCCTTCGTGGGAGCCTCGTGAGGTAGCAGTCGGGGTGAAGGAGCAGGGATGGGGCGCTCTGCAGCACTCCCTCCCTTCTCCCTTCGTGACTTCCATTCCTGAAGGAGGTCGCGGCTCGCGTGGGAGCACCTTGCCCAGCAGCTAAGTGCGATAAGACCGGACAGGAGGGGCAGGAGCAGCTGGGAACACTCCAGATGTGCCAGAGCAGCAGGGGAAATGGGAGCCAGAGCTGGTGTGAAAAAGAACGCACTCCTCTGGGAGCCTCGGGAGAAACCCCCATGCCTGGGGGAGAACCTGCGGCCGCCTGCCCCCATCCCCCAGCAGTTCCCATGCACTGCGGAGCCCAGAGTGACGAGCAGTGAGCTGAGGCCCCAGGGATGCCAAGGCAGCTCTCCTGAAGGAACATCTGTGTCAGGGTGCACCGATGCAGGAGATATGGGGGTGGGGGGAAAGGATCCCAGCTTTCCTGGAGGGCCAGAGAAAGAAGGGGGAGAGAGACCAAATGAAATGTCCTGGGGGACAGTCAGTGCCAACCAGTAGTGAGATAGGTGTGGAAGGTCTAGGTAGGCAGGGGCCTCACAGGACACCATTGGGTGGTTCAGTGCCGCCTCCACAATCCTGACTTCCCACACCTAGAACCCTGCCCCTGAGGACAGGCAAGATCCCACCTCCTGATTCCTCATGTGGACTGCTTGCTTCTTAAAGAGTGAAAATACTCAAAGGAACAGATTAAAAGCACCAGTGGCTTCAAAACAGCCAAGGGCTTGGGCCGTCTGAGGTGCAGGTGTGAATAGCAGTGTCTCCTGGGCCCCGGCAGGCCTGACCACCTTCCAGCTGTCTTTCACACTCTGCTTGGCCTTTGCCAAAGAGTATAGTCAGAGTCTTCAAGCACAGGAAAGGCTCCAAACTTCCAACCTCCCACTTTACCAGCACCCAGAAGATGCTAAGTGGACAGGAAAGAGCCACAGGCACTACTCACGTGTCTGGGTGGTCCATTTTCATATAAATTCTTTTCCAACTGGAATATCTTACCATTATCTAAGGCCCCTGCTGTGCTTCCTGGCCGCTTGGCATCTGCTTTTGAATGCAGACCCCTACCAGAAGCTTGAAGCTGGGTCCCTGTCCTTAACCCTGACCTGTAACAGGATACATCCTGTAGTGGGCACTTCCTTTTTAATTTCTCCATGACCATTTAGGAGCCAGCCTGCTTTAACCTCCTCCCTTGGTGGCTCAGACAGTAAAGAATGTGCCTGCAATGCAGGAGACCCGGGTTTGATCCCTGGGTTGGGAAGATCCCCTGGACAAAGGAAATAGCTACCCACTCCACTGTTCTTGCCTGGAGAATCCCAAGGACCGAGGAGCCTGGCGGGCTATAGTCCATGGGGTTGCAAACAGTCAGACACGACTGAGCAACTCAGTACACACAAAAATGACCTTTTGAGAGAACTAGCATATACTGTCAGCATTGTGGGCCCCTTGGGCTGGTGCTGATCTGTAGCTAGGAAGACCCCTGGAGAGGTGCCAGAAGCATCCTGGGTCTCAAGGAAGTCGAGACCCCACCAGGTTCGGGTTCATGAATCCCACCCATGCTGAGGTTCCATTTATTGTCACAGCCCTCTCCACTGCTGGGTGTGCTTCTTCCACCAGCAGAATCCCCCTCTTCTGCATTGCTTACACCCTGCTCCTGTAGTCCATGACAGCTTCGGAAAGGTACAGTTGCTATGGTAATGCCCAGAGCCATCTGAATTCCTGCTGCACCTTCTGGAAGACAAGGGTTTGTGAGGAGCCGTGCAGTAAATTCCAAACCTACCCTTTCCTGACCACCTCTGTCAGGGGTCAGGTGACTGCTGCAGGTGGAGCGGGGATGTGGTTAGCCCACCTTCCTTGGGCAGACATTCCATCACTGCAAGCTGCATGCAACTGGACCTCCACGTGTGAATATCAGAAAACCAAGTGCGTCTCTTACTGAGGGGTTTTAGGTGTAAGAGACAATGCCGGTGGCCCTCAAACTTAGTATCCCCAAGGGCTTATTAAAATACGGAGAGCTGGGTCCCACCCCCAGAGTACCTGGGGCAGAGCCAGAGAATCTGCATTTCTGACAAGCTCCTGAATGATGGTGGTGGTGATGATGTTGTAGGTCCAACCACAACGTGAGGACCACCATACTAGGAGGAGAAAAGCATCCATATCAGAGCAAGAAGCCATGGCCAGTCAGGTGGAGAAGGGACAGCGTCAGTTGTCTATTCTAGAGAAAGACTTCCCTTCCGGGAGGGCTCTGCTATCACATTTCTTGGCCAGGATACCAGAAGGACTGGTGATCCTAGGCTGTTTCTTTTTGGTTCCCCACCACTCCATAAACAAATACCTTCGCCTATGAGTGAGAATGGGGCAGCGTCATAGGTGAAGCCTTGAACTTGCAGACCAACCTCACAGATGCCTGGTGACTGAGTGAGTCCTACATGGTCTACATTCTCAGTGTCTGGGTGACCAAGGACCTACCTGGCTCAGGAGGGAGGGAGAAGAGGAAAGAAAGGCTGTTGCTGGCACTGAGCCCCCACCATTGGAGTTTTTACACCAAGATGCCTTCTCTAGAATGATGTTGTTTGGTCGTCATGTCCAACTCTTCACAACCCGATGGACTGAAGCACATCAGGTTTCCCTGTCCTTTGCCATCTCCCAGAGTTTGCTCAAGTTCATGTCCATTGCATCAGTGATGCTATCCAACCATCTCATCCTCTGTTACACTCTTCTCCTTCTGCCTTCAGTCTTTCCCAGCATCAGGATCTTTTCCAGTGAGTCAGCTCTTTGCATCAGGTGGCCAAAGTATTGGAGCTTCAGCATCAGTCCTTCCAGTGAGTATTCATGGTTGATTTCCTTTAAGATTGACCGGTTTGATCTCCTTGCTGTCCAGGAACTCTCAAGAGTCTTCTCCAGCACCACAGTTAAAAGCATCAATTCTGTGGTGCTCTGCCTTTTTTATGGTTCAGCTCTCACAACCGTACATAACTACCATAGCCTTGACTATATGGACCTTTATCAGGAAAGTGATGTCTTTGTGTTTTAACATACTGTCTAGGTTTGTCATAACTTTCCTGGCAAGAAGCAATCATCTTCTGATTCCCTTCCCTAGAATGTAAATACTGTATTCTCCACTAAATGATATTCAAGCCCCAGCTGGGCTGCTTACCTTCAGCCTATGTGAAACTCCTATTCCCATGGGTATTGTTGTAAGCGAGAAAACGATGAGCAGAGAACCTGATGGGGCTTCCCAGGTGATGAATTGGGAAAGAATCTACCTGCCAATGCAGGAGACGCAGGGTTCAATCCCTGGGTTGGGAAGATCCGCTGGTATAGGAATTGGCAACCCGCTCCAGGATCCTTAAATGGGATATCACATGAACAGAGGAGCCTGGTGGGCTACAGTCCATAGAGTTACAAAGAGTCGGACACAACTGAGTAAGACCTGATAGAGATCGCAGGCCCTCTTCCCAGTTACAAATAGTACTAACAAGTGCCAAGGATTCTGACATCTTCTCTGCACACTTAGCCTTGCCTTGGAAATGAGGTCTCTAGGTGGTGGGCTTGGTGACTGTCCCACCAACTGTGTTAGCAAACAGGTGGAGGATACTCTGGCGTCATCTCTCCCACCTCCTGGTCCATGGCAGGACAGTTTTGGTAGAGCCTGGTGTGAAAAAATGGACATCAAATCAGTTTCCCAATTTTAGAAAGCATTGTTAATTTCCCTGAATATTCACTGGAAGGATTGATGCTAAAGCTCCAATATTTTTGACCATTGGATGTACAGAGCTGGCTCATTGGAGAAAACCCTGATGCTTGGAAAGATTGAAGGCAGGAGGAGAAGGGGACGACAGAGGATGAGTTGGTTGAATGGCATCACCAATTCAATGAACATGAGTTTGAGCAAACTCCAGGAGATGGTGAAGGATAGGGAAGCCTGGCATGCTGCAGTCCATGGGGTCGCAAAGAGTCAAACATGACTAAGCAACTAACAACAGTTAGTGTCCCAGCTCTGTGAAGGTTTGGGTGGGTGTGACTGCTTCCATTTATAAAATGTAGAATCCCTAAGGAAGACCTTGAGGGAAACTGGGACTTACTGGGGTTGGGGTGGGTGTCC